ATATATATCGGGCTTCGAGTTCAAAGGGTTAACAACGAACCGAGAGACACGCGACAGGACTAACGCGGGAATTCGATAAACGATCACTGGATCACGTATTTTATGTATTCACGAGAAAAAGAATAGTTTCATTGAGATAATTAAAATTATTAGAAGAGACGACATGTTTCTACTCGACTCTAGATGTTCGAAATCGACGGAAAACGTTTTCACTTTGTCTAAAATTCCGCGGTCCAACGATCACGGTTGTCCAAAAATTGTTCGCGTTAAAGAGAGAGAAGTTGAAAGTTGTCGTATCGGCGCGAGAATGTATCGGAAATCGTTATAATCTGTCGTTATATTCTGGGTCGCTGGAACAGCGAGCAACGTCGAGCTAGCGGCGTTGCGTAACGAACCTTTTGCGACCGTCGAGAGTATCCTTTTTGGTCTCGCCGAGATTTATTCCGATGGGAACTTCACCGTTTCTCGCTGGAGACTAGCAGGTTCGAAGAGAGAGAACGGTCCAATTCCAGTGCGAGTTGATTTGGGTAGCGTCACGAACGACCTCTGCAGCCAGGAGAAAGAACGACGCGAGGCGACGCACGCGCAGGCAGTCCCGCGCAGCTTCGTGGGACGCCTACCGGGCGAACAGCGTAGCTCTGAACCGCGATGGCGACCCGACGCGAAGCTACCGTCCGACCGTAGTTCAGAACTGTAACGCCCGGTAGCCGCTCCCGCGTCACCGTGGCGGCACTCGCTGCGCATGCGCCGCCGTGCGCCGCGACATTTCCCGGACGGGGCGCTGCCTCTGGCGGCCGGGATCGCGCGGAGGTGGAACTGCTTGACACGAGAACCGTTGATCGGAAGTCAGGTATCGAGACCGCCTGTCGGTTAATGGTACTGGCCAGACGACGCGCTTCTGGCCCTTGGTCTCACTTTTGTGATTATTATTTAAGCGCATATGTTAAGCGGTAACGTTTAGGTTAGGCTAGGCTTCACCATAATATCTTGAACCGTACGCACAGATATTCTCGTCGCGTCGGCGTCGGCGTCGTTCAGCGTCTCCGGGCACCCGTGGACTAATAAGAACGCGCGCGGTGCTCGGATCGAATCCGAACGAAGAAGCGGAACAACGAGAACGGATCGCGCGTCCGTGCATTTATACTTTTACAAAACTCTGTGGGGATCGCGGGGAAGAAGGAGCAGGAGGAGGAGGATGTTCCCTCCGGCTTGGAAGCGGAACCGGAAGCGGTAGCGGAGGAACACCGGGCGTTTTTAATCCGTATTATACGGTAACTAGCTCTTAACAACAGTTCTGTATCATAAGTTTCTTGATTGTAACACGTTATCGAAGGTGTAGATTTCACACTTCTTCTTTATTTTTCTTTTTTTTTCGATTCCCATGATTAAACATTCTATTTTGCGTAATCAATGCGACGATGACGAGGGCGGAAGAGGTTTTTGCGAGGCGAAGACGCGGAAGGCACTCGGTCCCCTTTACGACGGAACTCTGCGCGCTATACTAATCGTTCGCCAGTGTCGAGGACGAGCCTTTTGCCAGGGGAACCGGCCGCGGAACGCTGCCAGTTTGTTGCCCGCAATCGTCCCGTAACTCCCCCCCACCACTCCCACTCCGCCGTTTCTCGTACGTCTGTACTATCCCCTCCCCCGATTCCCTTTCACGTTCCCGCGTTTTTAAGTTTTCAGGCGTCCGACGAGGCGTCGGAAATCGCACCATCGTCCATATGCCATTGTCGTCGAGTTTGCTTCTTCCGTCGAGACGGCTCGCGCGTCCCCTAGGCGAAACGCTCGGCGCGTAAGGGTCGAGGACCGTTGTGCCTTCGAGCGCGCACGTTGATACGTTTCTACGATCGTATGGAGGACATACGCGTCCATTTTTTATTTTGTGATTCCGTACGCAGTTGTTCAATGTTTTTTTTTATACTTCTCTTAATGCTTATCTAGGATAGCTTGTGTACCCTAAAGAGTGTTTCAATAAAATTGACAATGAAATCAACGTGGTCTGGTTTATTCGATTCCTCGTCCCCCACGTTTAGGCGAAGAAGAGAGAGATCGAGATCTCTTGCAGAGTTCGAAAAATGACTGACAGCAAAATTCTGTCTTGTAAGAATTACAAGATAGAATTTATTGAAATTTTTCACTATCTTTATAATAATGTGTGACTTGAAGACAGAAATACAGGATGTCCCGAAAATGGGGGGTTCCTGAGGCCATTCGAAGCAACTTTTTCCTTTACAAAAATTTTCTACGAGGCATCGTTTACGAGTTATTAACGAAAAAGATAGTGACCAATGAGAGGCGAGCTCGCCAGCCGCGCGATCGCCTCCCATTGGCCCCTGTTTTTCGTTAATAACTCGTAAACGAAGCCGCGGATTGAATTTCTGCAAAGGAAAAAGTTGCTTCAAATGACCTCAGGAACCCCTCATTTCCCGGTAGAAACATCATTTTGGGACATGTGGTACCGTTCGTTTGACCGATGGTGATAAGCCTAGTGTTAATCTCGGCAAAATATCGGCCGTCTTTTGTCGTATTTTTTATCCTTGAAATCGCGTTCTCGCGCGAATTCTCGAATTCTCAAGAAAAAAATTTCGAGGATACAGTAACGTTCTGTGAAATTCTCTGCATCCATACGATTTAGAAACATAAAATAAATCGTATTATTAATCATTTCTAAGTGGATCTTATGTTTAGTGTAAACAAAAGATGACACGAATCGCGCGTCCGTTCTTTAAAATATAAATGAAAAGAAACTAAAAAATACCGACATTTATGACAAGCAGCGCCTCTTACAGCGAAACCGCGAAGCTCCGTTCAGAGGTCCACACAACGCCATTACTCGTAGTGGCAAAAGGCGCAAACTGTTAGCCAGAACCGACTGTTGGTAATTTTGTCCATCAGTTTCAGCATTTTGCCGTTGCGTGTGATGGCGCTAATTTAGATTTTCAGTGCATTTCTGCGGTATATACACAAACGAGATATAGGAATAGACCAGACACACGATCTATTATTTTGTCATCCAAAAGTGGGGTTTCAGAAACCTCGTCGCAAGGTTTACGTACGTCAAACTTAGCCAGTTTCGGTTTACAAAATTCAGAGACGCGCCACAATACAAATGTGGTATACAAACTACTCGATTCTCGCTAAGAAACCGAAATTTCTGAACTGCCGGTAATAACGAGCGCGACAGGAGAATGGTAACGGGATGCTATCGTTCCATTTTCGTCGTACAGGAATACACGTTACGTGCTAAACCTGCTTCTATACCTCGTCTGCGGTTACATCTATTGTTACATCGAATCTCGAGAACAAGCGTAAATGATAACAACAATTGTGATCGTCCGTTGATAACACGTGACACCTAGTTCGTTCATTTCATGGATGGTGCCACCAGTCTAAAAATATAAATATATAAAATAAAATATATAATATATATAATATATAAAATATAAAATATAATATATATATAATATATAAAATATAAAATGTAATACGTATATAAAATATAAAATATAAATTCATAAAATAATAATTCTTGCGATTTTTATTGCGCACGAAGGGAAAACTTTACCGCGATGATCGAACGATTCGAGTGGACATTCTTCAATTTTATTTACACATTTTTTCTTTTTTTCTTTTTGCAATCTACTTTACAATCTACTGATCACGTACCAACAAATTTAAGGGAAGTTCGTCGAAGATTAATTTCGTCATGGCATGATTCAATTACCTCGAAACGATTCAAAACGTGAAAAAACATTGGGACGAGCTTTTCCGTTGGACCAGCATCTTCAGCTGTTCAATCCTGGAACGTTTATGGCCACTTTCTTTTACGACGTCAGATTCCGTTTCGGAGAAATCCTCCGCCATCTTTCGATAAAACATATCCTTCCTCCTTTGCTCCGGAGGCTCCTGCGAATGCGTCGCGCGAACTTTCAGAAAAGCCTTGATGAAATTCAGCTCCTCGTTCGTGGGGTTTTCAACGTCCTCCGGCTGAATTCCTTCCCGACAACTGAACGATTTTCTTCGTCTCTCTGGCGGCCGCATCTCCTCGTACGGAATCCGGTAATTCAACTGCGCGGCGGAGCGTCCACCAGCGCATGCCATTTTCTGATCAACGAGAACTTCCTCGAGCTGTTTCTGCAAAAGAATTTCACATTTTCAATGAGCCGAGAAACGAGAACGGATTTAACGTTTATAATTGTTCGCAGCTTCACGAATCTCGTCGTTCTAAGATAACAAAGGATTCAACCCCAAAGGATTGAGTTTCACGTAGCTGTGACACTGTCGTAGTTGACTGCGGATTTTATGCATTTAATCTTGTAATTGATATATCGTTTGTAATTAAAATCTTGTAATTGATATCATATCATTTGTAAATTATAATCTTGTAATTGATATATCTTTTGTAATTAAAATCTCATAATTGATATCATATCACTTGTAATTAAAATCATGTAATTGTTATCATATCATTTCTAATTAAAATCTACTAAAATTGATGTGTATCATTTCTAATTAAAATCTTATAATTAATATATCATCCGTAATTAAAATCTTGTAATTGATATCGTATCAATTGTAATTAAAATCTTGTAATTAATACATCTTTTGTAATTATAATCTCGTAATTGATATCATATCATTTCTAATTAATATCTTGTAATTGGATATATCAATTGCAATTAAAATCCAATAATTGATACATCATTCCGCAATCAGAATCGAAACTTCACGACCACGCCTTTATTACCCTGTCGCAGCCATCGCCGATCATGCTGTATAGTACCGCTTTCGGCAGTTTGAACGGCGGCGGCGATTTCGGTTGCGGTTCCATGCATCTTTCCGGGCGCCGTTTCGCGACCCGCGTGAACAAGAAAACGTCGCCGGCGGTTTCCCGATACCGCGAATCGAACAATCGGGGATCCTCTCTGCGTTGCTTCCTCTTCTGCCTGTCGGCGATCCTGCAGGTACAAGGATCGGGCCAGGACCTCTTCGGGTCCGGCCCGAATATTTGCTCCCACAGAGTCAGCTTCGCTTCGCGAGGTTTCTCTACGACGCAGTTACTTGGCTTCTCCTTGGCCGCCGATTTTTTGAAGAACAAACACTTCCTCTTCGGCTTCTCCTCGATGCATTTCGACGGGGCACCCTCGCAGGGCTCCAACGATTCTATCTTGGCCGGCGCCGGTTCACCGCAATTCCCAGTGCCGTATTCGACGGGTCTCCGTCCCGATTTGAACCAAAAGCTTCGTAGGTTCCCGTTAAGTATCGTCGAAGTCAACGACGTCGGCTTCAGCAACAAGCCGTTCAAACTATCCTAAACAGAATTCCTGAATTAACTTGAATCGTCGTCAAGGTTATATGCAAAATATATTAAAATATATTAAATATTAAATATATATTACATAGTAATATATTAAATTATATTAAAATATATTAAATATTAAATATATATTACATAGTAATATATTAAATTATATTAAAATATATTAAATATTAAATATATATTAAAAATATATATTATGCAAAATAAAAATTGTCCGCATTGGATTAAAATAAGCAGAAACTAAATAATTAAAAAATATATATATATATCTATATATAAATACTATAATAATAGAGAGAGTATACTATAATAATATATATTTAATTATATATTATATAATATAATAAATATATATATATTTAATAATACTATAATAATATATATAACTAAATACTATACTTTAATAGATCCGAAATAAGACAGTTTGAAATTCTTTCATTTTAAAACAGTATCGTACAATTTTCTCATAATAATTTTGACATATTTGTTGTCAAATCCGCAATCTAGTAATAAACACGATAATTCGTTGAGGTTAAGACGTGGTTTAGCGTCGATTAACCTATTTATTGCTCGTCCGATCAATTAGTTTCGTCGACATTCGAACGTGAACCTTACCGTTTGCAAGACGAAACTGGAAATTTGGAACCTGGGCCGGAAAGATGCCATGACGAAAGGAATTTTGCGACCGAATACTTGAGAACAGTCCTCTGGGGGTTTTCTTGAGGGTTACATTGGTAATTTAGGTTCGGAAACCGGGTGCATAATAGTGCGAAACAAAACAGCATTGCTGTCGAACCAAGAATTAACTTTACGAAAACGAAGAACGAACAATTATAATTTATTTTATTATCCGAACGAATTAGGTGAGCTGTTTCCGTGATCTGTGCCAACTAATATAATAATAATAATATAATATATAATATAATAATAATAATATAATATATAATATAATAATAATAATATAATATATAATATAATAATAATAATATAATATATAATATAATAATAATAATATAATATATAATATAATAATAATAATATAATATATAATATAATAATAATAATATAATATATAATATAATAATAATAATATAATATATAATATAATAATAATAATATAATATATAATATAATAATAATAATATAATATATAATATAATAATAATAATATAATATATAATATAATAATAATAATATAATATATAATATAATAATAATAATATAATATATAATATAATAATAATAATATAATATATAATATAATAATAATAATATAATATATAATATAATAATAATAATATAATATATAATATAATAATAATAATATAATATATAATATAATAATAATAATATAATATATAATATAATAATAATAATATAATATATAATATAATAATAATAATATAATATATAATATAATAATAATAATATAATATATAATATAATAATAATAATATAATATATAATATAATAATAATAATATAATATATAATATAATAATAATAATATAATATATAATATAATAATAATAATATAATATATAATATAATAATAATAATATAATATATAATATAATAATAATAATATAATATATAATATAATAATAATAATATAATATATAATATAATAATAATAATATAATATATAATATAATAATAATAATATAATATATAATATAATAATAATAATATAATATATAATATAATAATAATAATATAATATATAATATAATAATAATAATATAATATATAATATAATAATAATAATATAATATATAATATAATAATAATAATATAATATATAATATAATAATAATAATATAATATATAATATAATAATAATAATATAATATATAATATAATAATAATAATATAATATATAATATAATAATAATAATATAATATATAATATAATAATAATAATATAATATATAATATAATAATAATAATATAATATATAATATAATAATAATAATATAATATATAATATAATAATAATAATATAATATATAATATAATAATAATAATATAATATATAATATAATAATAATAATATAATATATAATATAATAATAATAATATAATATATAATATAATAATAATAATATAATATATAATATAATAATAATAATATAATATATAATATAATAATAATAATATAATATATAATATAATAATAATAATATAATATATAATATAATAATAATAATATAATATATAATATAATAATAATAATATAATATATAATATAATAATAATAATATAATATATAATATAATAATAATAATATAATATATAATATAATAATAATAATATAATATATAATATAATAATAATAATATAATATATAATATAATAATAATAATATAATATATAATATAATAATAATAATATAATATATAATATAATAATAATAATATAATATATAATATAATAATAATAATATAATATATAATATAATAATAATAATATAATATATAATATAATAATAATAATATAATATATAATATAATAATAATAATATAATATATAATATAATAATAATAATATAATATATAATATAATAATAATAATATAATATATAATATAATAATAATAATATAATATATAATATAATAATAATAATATAATATATAATATAATAATAATAATATAATATATAATATAATAATAATAATATAATATATAATATAATAATAATAATATAATATATAATATAATAATAATAATATAATATATAATATAATAATAATAATATAATATATAATATAATAATAATAATATAATATATAATATAATAATAATAATATAATATATAATATAATAATAATAATATAATATATAATATAATAATAATAATATAATATATAATATAATAATAATAATATAATATATAATATAATAATAATAATATAATATATAATATAATAATAATAATATAATATATAATATAATAATAATAATATAATATATAATATAATAATAATAATATAATATATAATATAATAATAATAATATAATATATAATATAATAATAATAATATAATATATAATATAATAATAATAATATAATATATAATATAATAATAATAATATAATATATAATATAATAATAATAATATAATATATAATATAATAATAATAATATAATATATAATATAATAATAATAATATAATATATAATATAATAATAATAATATAATATATAATATAATAATAATAATATAATATATAATATAATAATAATAATATAATATATAATATAATAATAATAATATAATATATAATATAATAATAATAATATAATATATAATATAATAATAATAATATAATATATAATATAATAATAATAATATAATATATAATATAATAATAATAATATAATATATAATATAATAATAATAATATAATATATAATATAATAATAATAATATAATATATAATATAATAATAATAATATAATATATAATATAATAATAATAATATAATATATAATATAATAATAATAATATAATATATAATATAATAATAATAATATAATATATAATATAATAATAATGTAATAATATGTAATATAATATCTGTCTCTTATACACATCTAGATGTGTATAAGAGACAGGACAAACTTACTTCAAATTACCTCAGGAACCTCCCATTCTCGGATTGCGAAACATTTTCGGGACACCCTGTATAAGTTGAGGTACGTAGTTCGGTAAAGCGTCGCTGCAATTTACGCGCATAGTAAAAAGTTATCCGCCAAATACCGTGTTAGTGAATAATATTTGAGGTTAGATGATAGCGACAGTGTACGTCGGTTTTTGTTATCAAAGCAATGAGATTACTTTATCTAAAAATAACGCTAAAATGAATAGCTTGTTATTAATTACCAAAATATAAATGCCTCAAAACGTTTCAATCGTCTTTATTACGTTTCTTACAATTTCGACCAATTAATAAAGTAAATTATAAGCCCTGTTATTATTACAACTGTTATTCTATTTTGATAACTATATGATTGAAAAATAATTCACGTGGTGTAACACGAAAATAAATTTATTTAGTACCGGCAAAATAAATATAAGAATACGAAGAAGAAAAATATCGTTGACGTTAATAAATGTCAATGAGAAAAATATCGTTCAACGTAGCAACGATAGAACGTCGAATTATTTCCGGTGGAAATTAATTATCCCGTTAAAAATGCAACGTCGATTGTGTTAATCGGGTAATTAACGGTCCGTAATTCCGTCACGAAATTCCTCTCGAGGGTGGTTAAATTATTTGCGGACTAGGACGTGAACGTTAGAACAACGGAGTTGGCTGTGCGTGCATAAAATGGCGGTGGCCGATCTCGTCGGAAGCAGATGGATCGATTTTAATGATAAAATGGCGTCGACAGCGCCGGCTCGAGGACGCGGGATTTACTCGAGTCGCCCGCTAATGCCGATTCGGTTTCCTTTGATCGTCGGGCGCTTCCGGTGGCTGTGCAAATCCCGCGGCAACCCTACCGAGCCGGCCCCTGTTAATTCCGAGGGAACACCGGAATTACTGATACCGCCTCTGCAAACGAGACGAGATGAAGCCGGAAACGTCGATGTAGTCAATATTGCGCGCATCCACCTACGCGGACGATAGAAAATAGGGGGGTGGGGGTGAGAGGAGACTGCGAGCAGCGGAAGCGGGAGGGGGGGAGAAGAAGGACGGAGAGAAAGAGAGAAGGACGGTAGAGCTCGAAGGAGACGCAATGAGAGATTTCGAAGCGTTTGCGAGCCGCTGCAGATTGATTCGACTCGCCTAAACTGACGTGCTGCTACAGCCTTGCTCATAACTGGCGATTCCGCCTCTTTGATTCGGTATCTAATTTTTTTTCGGGTACTTTTAGATCGTTGAAATTATACAGGATACAACGTAAATTATAGGATGTTGTACATATGATATTGAAAATAGGATATAATGTAATGTAGAATTTAAATACAGAATTAAAATATAGAATTAAAATATAGAATTAAGATATAGAATCAAAATATAGAATTAAAATATAGAAATAAAAAACACAGGATTAAAATATACAATTAAAATATAGAATTAAGGTAAAGAAATAAAATACAGAATTAAAATATAAAATTAAAATGTAATATTAAACGATATTATAATCGAATCGATATTATAATTATATATATTGTTTATAATATACTACAACATAGAATATAGAAGATAATTATAATAAAAAATATATAAATATGGTGAATGCCAATTTGCACGAGATAGTAAAAATGACGTTTATCTAATTAAAATCAATTAAACTAAATTCAATTAAATTACTCTAATTTTTAGCTGGTCACATATAGAAATTCATGTTCATAAGGAAGCGGACAGTGAGTCCTGTTTTTTGGCAAAAGCAGTGAATCAATAAGACAGATAGCCGAATAATAAATACACCAATAAAAAGACAGTTATTTTTAGATTATTATTTAATTCATAGATTATTATATACTAGAAAGCTATAAAAATGCAATGGTATAGTAGAAAGCAGCTCAAAATATAGAAATCAAGGTACAAGTATTATTACAGTCGGTCCGCAGGCTGACCGTAGCCGACATCGTTGACTTGAATCACTGTACGCGTCCCCTGTTACCGGAATTCACACTGTCGTGCATTCACCTAGCACGATAATAATGATCCTTCTTATCCCCAAGACTGTAATCCAGTGCATTTTACACATATGAAATCGAATTTTATGCAACAGTTACGCTTTTTTAACAAATTATTAAATACAAACAAATTTTATAATGTTAAAATTACAGTAAATTCTCCCTAATTTTTCTTTAGCTTGGACAAACAAAAATGGACAATTTGAGAAGAGGAATTACGATTATCCGAGCTTCGCGGCTCATTTTTATAGTTGCCGATTGTCAACAATTATTTAAAAAAGAGGCGGAAGGCTTGAATAATCGCTCTTTTTAAATTGTTCATTCTTGTTTATAAGCTAACGGCAAATTAGGGAGAATTTACTGTATTCTGAAACGCGGGATAACGATTTTTAATGGCGCCTTAGAGTCGCCGTGGACGCCGCGTGTACACGTCATAAGGAAACGGCAATATTTATTACAATAAAAATTCTTCTCCCACGATTTATAGGTTAAAATGCTTGTCCATAAATTTCGCACATATTTAAAATCGTTCTAGAACATCTTGTCGAATGAAACTATGCACCCAGTGTGATAAAAAAATAAATAAAACGCATACAAGATTGATCTTAAAAAAATAGAACGCAGCCAAGCGGTTATTAAATGGTCGAACGGTGAAACCGTTGAATGAAATTTGCCCGAGAATTTGCAAAGGACTCTGACAAGGTTATGTATTTGGACCCAGCCTCGGCCCATTCGAGTCGCTCTACCTGAACGAGACTGTAGACGTCTGCCGCGCGGCGACATCCCCTCCACCCCCGTCCGAGGCTAGGTATGTATCCCCTACCCCAGATTTTCCGGCGGCGAGTCGCGGTGAGGAAGGGTGTTTACTCAAGACACGACAATTCATTACGTAATTGAATTGAATGAGGCCTCACTCCTCCGGCTGTTTCCGTTTCCCCGGCGCGGCGAGTATCTCCGCGACAGTCTCTCCTTCTCCCTCTCTCTCTCTCTCTCTCGCTCTGAACCCCTCTCATGGCTAGGATAGCACGTGTAGGAACGGTGGTTGCGCGTGTGCGCGCCCATCTCTGGCCCCCGGATGGGGAAACCATCCTCCGTGGCCCACCACACCCAGCGCGACCGTCCACACAGAGAAAACGCTTTCTCTCTCGCGCGCGCTTCCCTCTCTCTCCCTCGCGCACGCTTCTCGGTCTCTAGCGCGCTCTTCCCTCTATCTTCCTCGCGTACGCTTCCCGGTCTCTAGCGCGCACTTCCCTCTCTCTTCCTCGCGTACGCTTCTCGGCTCTAGCACGCGCTTCCCTCTCTCTTCCTCGCATACGCTTCCCGATCTCTAGCGCGCTCTTCCCTCTCTCTTCCTCGCATACGCTTCCCGGTCTCAAGCGCGCGCTTCCCTCTCTCTTTCTCGCGCGCGCTTCCCTCTCCCTCGCGCGTGCTTCCCTGTCACTCGCGCACGCTTCCCTCTCTCTTCCTCGCGAACACTTCCCACTCTCTCGCGCGCTCCCCTCTCTCTCGCTCCCACTCCCTCTCCTGTCTCCGTCGCACGCGCAGGCCCGCGTCCGCCTCGGCGCGCTCTCTCGGTGGGGTACTACCGAATTAAACGATTAGTTAAACTGATTTCGAGTTAGGCGAATGAATAAGTAATCGGATTTCTCGTTAAGGTAATCGCATTGCGCCCTGATTGGCTCCGTCTGCCTGCGTTATAGACCGTTTCCCCTACCGTTTCGATGCTCGATGTGGTTCCCTTCGTTCCACCACCACCTCGCGAACCTAAACAGCTCCGTCTCCGTCCCGCCAATTAATTCCACGATAGCTCCGCGTGTGCTCCCCCTTCACCTTCTTTCCTCTCTCTCTCACTCTCTCTCTCCGTTCAACCACCCTGCCAGGACCGCTGCGGTCCCTTCTATCCTGGCGCACGCAGGACACCGGCAACTCGATCCTCGATCCGTCCGGTTACACCGTCCTTTCGATGCCGTTCCTGCGAATCGATGTCCCCGATCCTCCTCCTCCCCTCCTTCCACCCGTCCAATCGCTGTAGAACTTTCATGCTAATTTCTATTTTTGCGGGCTGCTTTCGAGAACTTCTCGCTTGATTGGGGACCTTTGCTTTATATTAGATTATTATATAGATATTTGTGTGATAATTCCAGGCTTTTTCGGTCATTTTGGAATCCTTTTCTCGATCGAGGCTCTAACATTTTCAATTGTTCGGTCGTTTCATAATTATGTTAATTTTCAGGAAAGGCTGCTTCCTCAGGTTATTTGAAGTACCTTTTTCCTTAGCGAAAATGCGATCCGTGGCTTTGTTTACGAGCTATTAACGGAAAACGCTGACCAATGAGAGGCGAGATCAGCTGGCGAGCGACGGCTAGTTCCGCTCATTGGCTCGGCTGTTTCCCGCGAGGTGATCTCGCCACTCATTGGTCAGTGTTTTTCGTCAAAATATTTCCAACTCGCTCGCGAGAAATACGTATTGAATCGAAATAAATTGTTTGTTTCAATAATTTTGTTACATTGAAAACAGTGTAATTTCGTATTTCGGCCACACGTTTTTGACATGAATGCATAAATTCTGTAGTCTAATTCTAATTCATTCATCGTTAATTTGTACTATTAATTCAGTTACATCGTGATTCTTAATCTTAATTGAATTACGCCGTAATTCGTAATTAATTTTAATTGAATTATATCGTAAGTCTTAACTAATCCTAATTGAATTACATACATCGCGCGTAATTCGTAACTAACCTCAATTGAAACACATCGTCATATATTTGTACTAAATTTTAATTGAATTACGTCGTAATTCGTAATCAATCTGAATTGAATCACATCGTAATTCGTAATTAATCTCGTAAAGTCACATCTTCCTCGTTGCGATAAATAAGAAGTTTACTAACATACCATATTGTTTACTGACCAAATTTATTGTTAACACAATTTACAGTCAAGTTAACTTATGATAACCTCACAATTTATTTCACTCGTTGTTTCAACATTGTCGCACGTAAAGGTTACATTTTAAGATGCGAATGAAAATTTTCGAATTTCTTTTACTTACGTCACTGTTCGATTCTAATCCACCAATTTATCCACAACTATACTCGTGAGCCACGAATCGCGAACAGCAGCACCGATAGCATCGCTTCGTCGCGTCCGAGCGACACATCGGTATGCGATTCGTCAGTCAAGCGGTTTCTTTTCGGTCAGATCCGCCGATCTTGCTGCAACTATCGACGTCTTCTCCCATCCGGTTCGACCGTCCTCTCTCTCTCGCCCTCTCTCTCTCTCGTTTCCCCGCACGACCCCGTTCGTTTACGCGCGTCTGCCAGCCTGATTCCCTCTGTCCGTATCCGAGAGCGTGTTCTACGGGCCGGCGACGCGGAACCGTGTTTGCCCGAGCAATTACATTCCCGAACGCAATCCCATTTAAATATTGCCGAGTTTGGTAGCGGCAAACACGGGGACAGGCCGCGCTGCGCCGCGCCGCGTTCCCCGGCCTCGCAATCGGCTCCGGGACAAGCCGAGGGGCCGTTACATGGCCATTTCGATGTAAAATATTCTCGGCGAGCCGTCTACGAGAGCCTCCTAACCCCTTTCCGTTAAAAAAATAATCCCGTGAAATCGTGTTGCCGCTCCCCTAAACCGCGCTGCGATTCTTCGCGAGCCGCGAACACTCTTGTTTTCAGCTTTCTCCTCGGGTTTCGCGCAACCCGAAGAACTCGTTCCAAATTCTAACCTCGTTTTCGAGCGCTTTCGATTTATTTTCTGGAGAGTATCGAAGTACGGTCGAACCTCGACAGCTCGTGTCTCGATGAAATAAACATTTAGTTGGCCAATGAGTCGTTGCGTTTTTTCCCCAACAGATGGCAATAGAGCTTTTGCAACTTGTTACTAACCTCGTTCCAAACCGCAAATTCGCTGTGTGTCCCGATCGATTATGGTTCGAGCTTGTTTTTAAAAGAATTTTGATGCAATTTTGTTCGAGACTGTTTATCTTTGGCATCGATCTCAATACGGATTACTCCAAGGAGCGCCTTCGTCATATTTTGATCTATTATTATTTCGAAAAGGAACAAATGCTGTGCGAGCACATAAAAGGTTATGTGACAGCGGAGATGTTTTAATGATGCGACATTGTCAAAATTGGTTTATTGTATTTATTATGTTCTTGTTATATTATATTTTTTATTATATCTCAGGTTTTATTTATTTATATTTCCATCAGGAGATTTTGATATTCGGGATGCTCCACGCACCTAATTGATGAGATAATATTTGATAGTCTGAGTAACGTCAATCCTAAAAAATGTTGGGGAAACAGAGTTATATTAACAGCAATAAATAGTACAATAAATTGAAGATTTAATAACTTTTTTGTTTATTGTTATTCCTGTAAAGATTGGGAATCAATGAATGAGTGTAGCAATAATTGCAAAGATTGCTCTTATTGAGAGGGCATAGTGAATCTATCATAATGAATAATATAATAATACATAATAATGATATATAATGAATATAATATAAAATATATAATAATGATATATAACGAATATAATATAATAGTGATATATAATGAATATAATATAATAATATATAATAACGAATAATATCTATTATGAAGTATAATATTAACAGAAGAATTAGATAATACAATACCTGTGAAAGCACCTAATATGAATAAAAAGACAAAACCTAAAGATCAAATGACGGACGAATTTAAATAAATTGTTTATCCGCAATAAGTCATCTAACAACTTTGATTCCAGATGGAGCTGCAAGAATCATTATTGCTGACGTAAAATAAGCTCGAGTATCAACATCCAGTCTCACCGTAAATATAATAGATATGACTCGCTCATATTAGTCGTAATCTCAGCCAAAATTAAAATCACATAGCATTTATTAATTTAACCAGTTCCTGTTTTTACTGTAACATAAATCTATACATATAAGACAAGCACAACAAACAAGATACAGCATAGATCGCATTTCAGGTATCCACGCATCCCAAAAGCACCCCTAAAAAGGGCGATCACCAGAAAACGCAGCGACCCCTAAAAATCTCAGAAATTAACGAGCCGTCTCAGCGTCCAACCAGCACCGAATTGCAACTCCGCAACCTGAAACCTGGTCTCCGTCAGCTCCGACACACCGCCTAAATCTGCAACCTCGCACGGTCTCCCGGCTCGCAACCCCTCGGCACAGCACTCGCATGAAAATTTCTCGCCGAACCATCGCCCCGGCGCCGTGCCTCCGAGGAGCCGGAAAAATGGTTGACAAAATCACGTAGAGAAATCGCCCCCCCCCCTCCCCCGGTAATCCCGGGGCGGCAGCCCAAGGTCAGCCGGCCGAAAAACCCACCCCAGTCATCATGGAACGCCTCGAAAGAAAAAAAATCGTGTCCGCCGGTGTGCGGGTCTCGGCATCCAAGGCCATCCAGCCAGCCAGCCGTCGAGTTACCGATCCGCCGTCGTCAGCAACCAGCCGAATCATTTTAAATCGATTATCAACCCCGAGCAATAAGTACTCGCGATGTAAACAGCAGGCGGCGACGAGGTGGGGAGGTGTGGGGGGACAGCAATCCGCCCCCTGTTCGCACCTAGTAGTCGCGAGGAGGGCGGCGAGCGGTTCGAAAACGGCTGACAAAGTGGCGACGACGGCCGATGCGCCCCACCAGCCGCCTGGCGCCGGGGTGGCAGAGGGGTCTGGAGGGGTGCGCGGCACCCTCGAACATCCACGGCCACCCTTGGCCGGCGCGGTAGGCTGGTCGGTGGCTGGTAGTTTGCGCTCGGCGCGGCGGAGCGGGCGCGAATGCTAATGAGCGTCGGTTTCGGGGGTGGTTGGCGCCGGGGGAGGGGACGCAGCCGTCGAGAGAGAGAGAGGCCGCTGCGGGAGAGTCGCCGGAGAGAGGCAGGCGGCCGGGGTCGCGGTGGGAGGGCCGGGAGGGTCGCGGGAGCCGAGGCAGCGCCGCGAGGGAGCGCGCGTGAGAGTGGTGGGGGCAGCCGGTGGGCGCGGCCGGCGCCGCCCAGCCGGCCGCCGATTCGCCGGCGACCGAATGGCGTCCTGGAGGGACGCGCGTGCCGTCTAGCGCGGCTCCCGAGCCGCCTACGTGCACCCCCTAGGAGCCGCGAGCGGTGTTCTCGGCCTCGAGAGTGCCTCGACACGACGAGGTCGGGACGCGCGAGCCGCGTCGTCGCGCGACTCTTCTCCGCGAGGATGGAGCAGCTCGCCCAGTTCGTCTCCAAGAGCTTCGACAACGCGAGCCTGCCCGGGCCCGAGCATTGCAGGACCACGGACAGGCCGCCATCCGCGAGGATCACGCTGAGTGTCGCGCACCTACTCGGGGACCCCGCCGAGAACGAGACCAGTACGTTTGTTTAGGGCCGACGGCGACCCAGCCGACGACCACCACGTGGATACGCGTCTCCCCTGTGATTGTTGTGCGACTTTCCGACGGTTCGGCCGTGGTTCACGGTTAATCGCACCGTGTCGGTGCGAGCCGACGCTTTCGGACTGCATTCGAAGAGGCTTGAAACACCGCGGACACCGCGACTATGCTTCCTTATATCGGGGTGCTTTCTGGATGAGGGGGGTTGTTTCGTCCGGCGGATTTAAGTCGCGCATGTGGTGGCTGCCGATGGACTCTTGGTTCTTCGGACTCGTTCTCTGAGTAGTCGCGGGCGTCGGATTTTTCACGGTCATTTCGGGAGGGTGGAGGGTTCGACGAGGATTGAGGGTGGACCACGGATCGGCTTTATTTATTCTGCTGTCAGTGGCTCGATTGGATGTTTTTCGAGCTGAATTAACACGGTTTAAGGAGAGCTCTGAGGTGATCGTGACAAATTATTTTTCGTCAGCCCTTTCTTTCCGGAATTATCAAGAGGTTTTACTGGAGAAAGTTACGATTGTTTTTCTATTAGATTCGGAAAAAGATTTTTTAATGTTACGATGCTTGAGGAATGCGTCCGAGTATCCCCTAAAAGAAGGGTGTAAGATAATTATAGGTCAAGGGTATAGAAAAACTGAAGGCGACCTTGATATCGCCGGAAATAAAGGGTTGAGAAAAGATTTGGTGCAATTATCTTAAAGATCATCTTAAACAATGTTATTTTAGCTTGAAAAATCTTCGATGGAGCCATTAATAGCTAGCAGAATAATTTAATAAATTAAATATTTGAAATCGTAGGAGAAAAATTCAAGCTTGTAAGAGAAAAATTCAAATTTCTAGGAGAAATATTCGAAATTATGGGAGAAGAACTTAAGCTTCTGGGAGAAAAATTCAAATTTCTAAGAGAAATATTCAATTCAAATTTCCAGGAGAAATATTCAGTTCAAATTTCTAGGCGAGATGTTCAATTCAAATTGCTGGGAGAAATATTCAATTCAAATTTCTAGGAGAAATATTTGAACTTGTAGGAGAAATATTCAAATTTCTAGCAAGAATATTCAAATTCCAAGGAGAAATATTCGAACTTGTAGGAGAAAAATTCGAGCTTCTAGTAGAAATATTCAAATTTCTAGCAAGAATATTCAAATTTCTAGGAGAAATATTCGAACTTGTAGGAGAAAAATTCGAGCTTCTAGGAGAAATATTCAAATTTCTAGGAGAAGTATATATTCAATTCAAATTTCTAGAAGAAATATTCAAATTTCTAGGAGAAGTATTCAATTCAAATTTCTAGAAGAAATATTCGAACTTGTAGAAGAAATATTCAAACTTCTAGGAGAAAAATTCAAATTTCTAAAAGACCCAATGACGACCATACTTCTGTGATTCCGAAGTCAACTGAAAAGCAACAATGCAAAGAAGAAAGTGCTTTTGTGACTTCGAAGTTCGTCCGGCGACTTGCCATCGGTAAAATGAACAGTTCAAGATCAAAGCTTCGCTCTAACGCAATGAAAATCTGCCAACGAATATAGCGTTGATTTCTCAAGGAAGAGTAATTCCTACAATAAAAATGTTGTAGTTCCAATTGAGTTTCGAGTCTACGGTAATGCAATGGGTGATACGTTTCCGTGCATCTCTGAAATCAGTGTAACAATGGATTTCCATTGGTGAGACCAGCAGCTTCAAGTTTACTGTGCTTCAAGCACTCAAGGGAGTGGGAATAGGATGTGATAATAAACAATCTTCGCTCAATATACAGGGTGTCCAAGCATGGGCGGTACAACCAAAAAGGGGGGTGATTCTACACTAAAAAAAGAGGAAACAAATGAAAGATACGGATTCGAATGTTTTCATTCGAAGCTTCGTTGTCGAGAAAATCGACTTTGAATATTCAAACGTGAGTTTTTTACTTTTTACTTTACGTCGTACCAAGCGATAGCAAAATGTATATAAAAAAACATTCTAGTTATGGTCTAGTAGACTCTCTCTTTCTATCGTATAAAAGAAATAGAAATCGTTTAATCCAATTCTAAAAATATTATTTCGCTTTAAAAATGTTACTTCATTCAAATAATTTCGTTATCAACAATAACCATGGTTTAAAAAATATTACTTATACAATTAGTATCGTGATGAGTAATTTTTTCTTCCGATGAATTTGGAGCGGATTTAAATGAAAATGAGACATTCAATTCGGTTACAAATTTGCTTTGTTACTGCAAAACTCGTTGGAACAATGCTGTATATTCAAGCTCGATTTTCGCAACAACGGCGCCTTGACTGAACAAATTTTATTCTTTGTTTCCGATTTGCTTTTTTTTTCTTTAATGTAAAATCATCCCCTTCTCGGTTTTACCATCCGGGAGACATCCTGTACACGGCCTGCAAATATGTATACCTTTTTGATCGGATCCACGTTTACAGAGCACAGTAAATTCTCTCGAATTGTCCCTCAGCTCGTAAACAAGAATGGACAATTTGGGAAGAGGAGATACGATTATTTCAGTTATATTATACATATTATATTATTATTATATTATAATTTATTATATATATTATATTATTACTTTATTGTATTATATATTTTGTTATACATATTATATTATTATTGTTATATTATATTTTATTTTATTATATATTAGGGGGACCGGAAAGTTATGTCGTTTGTTTACATTAAATTCAAACAGATAAATATGCGCAGAAACGACATTACTTTCCGGTCCCCCTAATATCTGTCTCTTATACACATCTAGATGTGTATAAGAGACAGATATTAGGGGGACCGGAAAGTAATGTCGTTTCTGCGCATATTTATCTGTTTGAATTTAATGTAAACAAACGACATAACTTTCCGGTCCCCCTAATATCTGTCTCTTATACACATCTAGATGTGTATAAGAGACAGATATTAGGGGGACCGGAAAGTAATGTCGTTTCTGCGCATATTTATCTGTTTGAATTTAATGTAAACAAACGACATAACTTTCCGGTCCCCCTAATATCTGTCTCTTATACACATCTAGATGTGTATAAGAGACAGATATTAGGGGGACCGGAAAGTAATGTCGTTTCTGCGCATATTTATCTGTTTGAATTTAATGTAAACAAACGACATAACTTTCCGGTCCCCCTAATATCTGTCTCTTATACACATCTAGATGTGTATAAGAGACAGATATTAGGGGGACCGGAAAGTTATGTCGTTTGTTTACATTAAATTCAAACAGATAAATATGCGCAGAAACGACATTACTTTCCGGTCCCCCTAATATTATATTATAATTTATTATATATATTATATTATTACTTTATTATATTATATATTTTGTTATATATATTATATTATTATTGTATTATTACTTTATTATATTATATATTTTATTATATATATATTCTATCATTTTTATAGCGTTGACAATCGGCGACCAAAAAAAGCGAGCCGCGAGGCTCGAATAATCGTATCTCCTCTCCCCAAATTGTCCATTTCTGCGTGTAATCTCAACGCGAATTAATTACTGTAATTTTCAGGAACAATTTGAGAGCGTTTACCCTAATTAAATACGTAAAATCCCGTGAACCACGGTGTTCGCTAACCCCACGATAATCATCCCCGTTAGTTTAGGCACGAATAGACGTCGACGTTGCCACATAAATCGCGGATTCCACAACGCAGTCCGATCTGCGACATCCAGAAAAAAAATATGGTTCCAGCAGACTATGATTTGGTAATCAATCGATTACCGAGCGCGAAGAACCCGCCATCCGGTGTTTGACTCTGCTCTTCCCACATTGAGAACGCGGGTTTACACGTCCGGCCTGGAAATCACAATTTAAACGCCGCGCCGACGTTCCCTCCCTCTCGTCGAATCGTCGATTTCCAGGCGAGATTTTATCTCGCGGAATCTCATGAATGCGGAGATTCGTCGAGTCGATTTCGCCGTGCCTAATTCCGACTCGATTCTCCAAACCGTCTCGAGATTTCATTTAGAGATTCTTTGGAGTCGCTAAACATCCGAGAGCTATATTTGTCAGCGGTTAGAAATAGTCATTGTATCTACAGGGTGTCCCGAAAATGTATCGCCATCTGGAAACGGGGGGTTCCTAAGGTCATTTCAAGCAACTTTTTCCTTTACAAAAATGTTCTCCGACGCATCGTTCACGAGTTATTAACGAAAAACGCCGACCAATCAGAGACGAGCTCGACTGGGCGGCCGAGCCAAACGGCGGTCGAGGCCCAGTTCCGCCGAATGGCCGTCGCGCGCCGGCCGAGCTCGCCTGTCACTGGCCAGAGTTCTTCGCTGCTAACTCGCGAACGAAGCCGCGGATTACATTTTCACTGAGAAAAGAGTTACTTTTGGGACACCCTGTATCTCGAGATGTTCAACATATCGCAACCGCCGTCGTGTTACAACCGTCATCGGTCTCCCCTAACAACAATTAATCTTATTCAACTATCGAAACTCGAGTCTAGTTCAGTGCACGATTTAAATATCCCGGGTCAAAATGCACCCGGCCATCGTCTCGCGGGGGTTAAGATATAACGGTGGAGGAGATCGTGTAAGCTGATCGAGGCGTCCGTTCTCCAGATGCCGGCGCGTCGGTTCGCGAGTCCGTTCAGGATCCGTCGAGCCTCGAGGCGAGCAGCGCCGAGGAGCCACCGTCGCCGGAGGCCCGGCTGCAACCGGAAGACCTCTCGGTCACGACCAAGTCGAAGGAGACCGTTAAGGACGCCGCGAACACCGCCGAGAGCCTTCCGCCATTGAAGACGCCCGAGCTGAAGCTCTCTGTGAGGAAACTGCTGGGATGCAGCCCGTCGCCGCCGCCGATCTCGAGGGACCGAACCCCGAGCCCGGAGAATTGCATCGAGCTCAAGAGCCAGACCGTCGGCGACGCGAAGACGCCGACGGACCTCAAGCTGCCGTCGCAGCTCGCCAGATCGTTGACGCAGGGCCAGGAGGAGAACGCGAAAGGTAAGAGAGTGTTCCATATTATTAGCTGGACCATTTTCACGACTAGGTTAAGCGCGGTTAAATACTGAACGCCATAAATACTGCGGTGAAAATACTGCGCTTTATGAAAGTAATAAAATCTAACATTTTTTATAGTGTGTAATCTTTTTAAAAAATATTGCAATCTTCTTTGATACTGTAACAACAATCGCGGTTTTAATTGGTTTAGTAACTTTTGATATTCGGAAGCTTGTGAGAACGTTGAGTCTTGTGAATTACTCGTCACGGCATCTGTGAACGCTGATTCGAAATGCATTTTGGGAATTAAGCTGTTCATTTTAGCATTATTTTTAGATAATGTGATCATTGCTTTGATAAAAATACGACGTGCATTGTCACTGTCATCTATCTTCAAATATTATTTAATACTAACACGGTATTTGGCGTATAGCTTTTTTTTGCTATGCGTGTATATTATTGAAGCGTTTTACTGAACTGCGTGCCCTAACCTATACGGCGCAGTTCTCGATGAGCCGTGCGACACGCTTGATCGCAGAGTGCCTATATCTAATTTGTAAATTGCTATAGTGAGAATATCTTGATCCTAGGGATCGTAGCTGTGTGTGTACATTTAAGAGAAAATGGGTGATGTCAACTTTGACACGCAGTAATCGGTACGTTCGCAGTACATATTCGGCTCGTGGTAATAGATAATATAACCTGTAATACATAACCTAAGTAATAGATACATATGCACACGTGTGGTTTCTTTACGTTACGTTTTTTTTAAATGAAATTCGTGCTTTTGAGAGATGCAATATTTTGAAAAAAGTAAATATTAAAGAATAATAGCTATAGCTCCAGTTATGGTATTTCCGGGAAATGATGGGTTCCTGAGGTGATGCGAAGCATCTTTCTCCTTTACAAAAATGTTCTCCGAGGCATCGTTAACGAATTATCAACGAAAAACGCTGACCAATGAGGGGCGAGCTCGCTTGGCGCTAGAGGACCAAACCAATAAGCGCAACTGTGCTTCGCGCGCTCGTTGGCCTGGCCGCCGCGCGCCTGCCGAGCTCGCCTCTCATTGGTCAACTGTTTCTCGTTGATAACTCGTTAACGATGCCTCGGAGAACATTGTTGTAAAGGAAAAAGTTGCTTCAAATGACTTCAGGAATCTCTAGTTTCCCGGAAGTACCATAATTTTGGGACACCTTGTATACAAACTTCGTCCGTCCTTCCGACATCCCAACGTCTAAGCCAAGGGCCCGCTAGAATAAATAGCCTAACTAGGCTCCGGTAACAGGTCCCGGACGAAACGCCCCACAGTTTCGCTTGTTTCAGCCGTCGCCAATAGTTGCAGACTGATACAGCTGATGCTAAATGAAAAAGTTGTTATTCTTAAATAATACGAAAGATAGATTCCGAAAAAATAGACGAGTTTTACGAAGACAGAGAACAATATTTCCAAAATTAATATTAATATTAATATTATTAATATTAATACTATATATCGAAAGATGGTTCGGTCTCGCGAGACTATGGCATTTAAAACAACACGCCGTTCCAAAATCCCGCGAGAAATAAATTCGAGATATTCCGGAAAAATTCGCGAACCTGAGCGAACGATGTTCGAAGAGTTCAGCGACGCAACAGCGCGCGAACGACGTACATTTTCCTCGACGAATGAGAACAGAGTCTGATGCGCGCCATCTGTTGCTTCCGAAGTTAAAACGGCATCCATATGTATGTCCGTGTACCGCCGCGGGGGACTCTGCAATAAGATATCGGAAAGGATTCGAACGGAATCGGTCGTTTCCCCGGTTCTTCGAGGATCGTGTGCGGGAAGGTCAGGAGCCCCCGTCACGGCTCCCCCCACCACCACTCTGGGACACGTAACGTCGGTGGGGTTCGATGTTCGTTTATAATTCAGGACGTCGTCCAATAAAGCTCAGAAGTGATTGGGAATAGCTGACCGTTCGCAACCTAACGACCACCGACCTCCGGCATCGGCCACACGCCAAGTCGACTTCAATAACGGCCGTTCAGCGTCCGCCACTTGCCCTTTCCTTCCGGCCCGTCATATTTTCCTTCTCCGAATCGAGTTACCAATCGGGTATCGATCTCTCTCTCTCTCTCTCTCTCTCTCTCTCGCTCGCTCGCTCTCAACGGGACGTGCCGCAAACATCGACGGAGCTCATTTCAATCTTTAAATCAATTGAGAGATCGCGTTGATTCGTTTAGAGTGACACACCGGAGCCCCGCGATTTATGGTTATGTATTCCGTGCCCTTCGAGAGGAACAATTCGGTGGCCTTTTTTTCGTTCCCCTCAGACGTTTAACGTCGCATCGACTTCTTCTTTCATGGTCGTAAGCGATATTTGTTGGTCGTTTCTCCGAGCGGTTTGCCGTCCTCCGAAGGATCTTGGATGTTCTCGTGATTGCGAGGTTATGGGGATCTTCTAGGTTAAGTGCGAGCATTACCGCAGAAGCTCTAAATAGTGTATTTTATAGAAATAGAATAAAATGTAACATTTTATGGTGTGTAATCTTCTAGAAATTATTCTCATAATATTTTGAATGTTTAATATTGATTATTTATAACGTACGAGTAATAGCAATCACAGTTTTAATTCGTTCATTGACTTTTGATATTTAAAAGCATATGGAAACGTTGAGTTTTGTGAGATACTCGCAACGGCATCTCTGAACGATGATTCGAAAGGCGTTTATATTTTGGTAATTAATTAATTCATTTAAGCTATCCTATATTAATATAAGATAAAATAATATTATAATAGTAATATAATAGTAATAGTATATATAGTAATAATACTAGTATTATAATAATATTATTATAGTATTAATATTAGTATAATATTATTATAATACTAATAATATTATTCACTAGCACAGTATGTATTTGGCGCATAGATCTCTACTATACGATCTTTACCCGACTATTGCGGCGCTTTAATAAACTGCGTACCTTAACCTATAAGGCGCAGTTCTCGATGAGCCGTGTGACTCGCTTGATCGTGAAGCACCTACACCTAATTAGTAAAATATTGTAATGAGAATATCTTGATCCTAGGAATTGCAGCGCTGTGTGTATATATTTAAAAGAAAATAGATTATGTCAAGATTGACGCGCAATAATCGGAACGTCCGTAGTATATTCGGCTTGCAGTAATAAATGCATAACCTAAGTGATAATAGATATACATATGCACACGTATGATTTCTGTATATACAGGGTGTCCAAAAAATGTCTCGCAATCGGGTAGCTGAGGTCATTCTAAGTAACTTTTACGTTCGCGAAAATGCAATCTGCAGCTTCGTTTACGAGTTATTAACGAAATGTTACTCTTTTCAATGAAATTCGTGCTTCCAGCGATCCGATATTTTTTAAGAAAAGTAAATAGTTCAAGTTAAAGAACAATAGGAAACAAAAATGGACAATTCCGGAAGAGGAGGCACGATTATTCGAGCCTCGCGGCTCATTTGTTTATACTTGCTGATCGCCGACAATTATAAAATTATAAAATGTTAAATTACAAAAATCATAAAAAATTTCCAAGGATTCAAACTTCGAGAAAACGGGCCGAGAAAAATATTTCTTGCAGATTCGTCGGCCTCTCCGATGTTCCTAATACAACAGCAATTTATATTATTTAATTACTAAAAATCGAGCAACTCGGTGAAGTCGGGTCGAAATTGACCCGGCCGCCAAGTCGAGCAATGTTCTCGCTCCGGTGATTCGAATCGATTTTTCGATTTCCGTCGATGGAACGACGTGTCGCGAAAGATCCCGAGGCGGCGCGTTTATTGATCAC